AATACTGTTAAAAGCGGCGTTAAACCCAACTCACTCACTCACTCATATCACTGGACTCTTACTGACGGCGACGTAAAACAACATTCAACCACTCACTGTATACAGATAAACGGGGACACAGAATATAAACCTAACCGATGTGACTTGTGCAGAGTTGCGTCCCTTAGAAGTGTCAGGATCCACTGGTCGTTGGTTCGAATTCCGGATTTTTATTCCCTGATTATGATTATGACCTGCCAACACCTTACCCGTGGGTACACGACCTGTATCAAAGACCTGTAGCACTGGTTTTCCTCCTACAGTAAGACCACACGCCGAGATATAATAGTATTGAAAGCGATGTTAAATCTCACTCACTCACTCACTCACAGATTCACTGTACCAACAACACAAGGCTTATGTTTCACAGGCAGCAGTAATGCCTTGACCGTTGTCTTTGACACAGGCTGCAAATTGCTTGTGGTGTGTGTGTTTTTTTGTATTCGTTCACCGACCGCCTCCGTGAGCTTCTGCCAGGAGAGCCGCGTCATTACCACAAGACGTTAAAGGTGGTACTTTTTGTTGCCCTGCCTGGCGCTAGGCTTTAAGGGCATAGATCAAGGACTGGTTGACTCGGAATGGGTCTCGCTCTTTAAAACCGATATAAGCCCGGACAAGCAGCCACACATACACCCGCACGCACGCATGTACACACACGCATTCGCAAACACGCACATGTGCATATACGTCGCAAAAGAAGTGCAATAATCTTGAACGAGACGTTAAACACCATTTCACTTTACCGTCAACACGTTCACCATTCAACATTCAAGCTCCCTGCCCCCTACACAGGTATTCAGATATATCGTAAGAGCTGGTATACAATATCACACACCCCTATTGTGCCCCGTGTAGACAACCCATGTGCGGTGCTATTTTCCTCGACGTGAAATTACCGTATGTCCTCTATTTGTATGTACCTGGAATGGATAAAATCATTATAAAAAGGACCGCCCCGCGCTCTTGTGGACAGCGCGTCCGCCCGGAGAGCGAAAGGTCGGTAGTTCGATCCCAGGCCGCGTACATAAAAGATCGTATTTGTTGTTACCACGATAGCGCTAAGTATAAAGGAAGGGACTCAAGCACGGACAGGTGAGCCCGGTCATAATCTTTTACGTTGCCATAATTATGACGTCATAGCTTAATTTAATAACGTAAACAATATGGCGTCTATCTGTATAGGTACGGCTGTGTCGACTCGTGTGATTGATGATATACGGGTATATACGGACGTCTATATGAAACTCTACGTCTATATGAAACTCGACGTCTATATGGAGCTTGTCTTCTGTATGAAGCTCGACGCATACGCGAGGCTCGACGTCTATATGACACTCGACGTCTATATGAAACTCGACGTCTATATGGAGCTTGTCTTCTGTATGAAGCTCGACGCATACGCGAGGCTCGACGTCTATATGAAACTCGACGTCTATATGGAGCTTGACTTCTGTATCAAGCTCGACGTATATACGAGGCTCGACGTCTATATGAAAACGCGACGTCTATATACAGCTCGGTGTCTATATGGAGCTTGACTTCTGTATCAAGCTCGACGTATACACGACGCTCGACGTCTACATGATGACTGGCGTCCAAAGGAAGCTTGGCGTCTATTGTGAAGATCAGCTTCTACTATTAACTCGTAGTAAATGAGACGTTCAGTGTCTGGCGAACGTTGGATCTACCGGAAGACCGACGTCAATAAGAAGCGTGGCCTTTATTAGCGTCTCAGCTTCTGACAGAGGAAATACGGTATTTGTTGCTCAATCGTTCCTCTGCGTTCACTCGACACACAACCACTGCGTTAATCAGCCATATACGATCACTAGAACATTCACCGCACAGTGTCGTCAGCCTTGTTACCCAGTCCTGAACTGGTATTTCCACATGCACCTGACGAAGATATTTACGCAAGCTGAACACATACCTCATGCGTTACTTATACCCAGGTCCCAGTCGCACACCGGCTTAGTGTGCCTGCCACACAAACACAATGCAACGTATGTGACTTAGCATTTGATCTATGGTGGAACAGTTCGGTGACGTAAGTGAAATGTATAGCCTCAATGCTGATTGAGTGGTTTGTCATGTGATCCGTGAACAGTTGTTATTATCCGCCTGACCTACCGTACAGACCTGCTGTTAAGCCGCAAGCTGACTTCAGTACATGTGTTAATTTCACATGCAAATACGAGAGTGACTATTTCATACCATTGAGAGGGGTGGGTGGTTGAGGGGGTGTTTTTGTATCGAGAGTAGACATTATTTTCAGCTGCAGCTAAAAAACATACATATTTTTTTTTATTTAAAAATATGAGCCTCAATTTACCTGATTATTTTCTTTAAGAGCTTTCAGGGACAATTATTTTTTACGATAAAATGACAATGACAATGACTATGACAAATTGTTTATTTTTGTCTCATCGGAGATACGGGTTATAGGCATATACATTTTTATAAAAGTACACTATAAAGTATCTCTGCCACCCACGATGTGGGTTATAAGAGACCATACATAATACATAGTAAAACAAATTGAGTAAAAACATATAAATAGCAATTTAAATATATATGGTGTTATTGGTAGTGAGATTTTCTTCGGACAGCCATTTTGTAGCACATACTACCTAGTGTTGAAATAATATTATAATCATTTAAAATATATACAAGCTCAATATAGTTATTTAAGTTGCCATTTGTGGGGTTAAATACTTTTGGAAGGTGGGTAACTCGGATATCATAAAGTGAGCAGTGGAGGAGAAAGTGAGTTTCATCTTCTACACATCCAGGGCAATATTTACAAAAACGTTGGTTAACTGGCACAGGAGGATTAGAATAACGTCCCAATAAAATACCAACCAAGTCACCGAGCCTGACAACTCGATCCCGTTAATCGCTTCTTACGACAAGCATGAGTTGCTGAAAACCAATTCTTACCCCGATCTTCTAACACGTTAAGTCGTATTTAACTTAATAGCATTACCGTAGATAGAGTATAGAGATCAACTGGAATAAGATTACAGTTAGAACACATGTAAACAAATTTAAGTAAGTATGTAAAAGGGACACAGAAATGTAAATATTGCCTGTGAATGCAAGTACACGCATATGTATAATCCCTGTGTGATTGGAGCATGGTGATGTCAGAGGCGGATACAGCTTTTTTGAAAAGGGGGGGGGGGGGGGGTGCACAACTAAGATCTCTTTATTGTCTTTGGTGGTAATTTATACAGAAATAAAGATTTTTTTGAAATAAAAAGGGGGGGGGGGGGGGTGCGCACCCCCGCACCCCACCCCCACCCACCCCCACACCCCATCCCACACCCCTCTGTGTCCGCCCATGGATGTCTTGTGAGTGTAACGGTCCTCGTCACGTCGAAGGTCCGGGTTCGATTCCCCGTATGCGTACACTGTGTAGAGATCATTTCTGGTGTTCCCCGACGTGATGTTGCTGGAATATCGCTGAAAGCTGCGTAAAACATCTCCCTCCCTCCCTCACTCACCTATTGACTCCTAGGCGTGTAAATTCACACCACGTCAGCGGTATAGATATAAACATCCATGTGTGTATTCTGGTATTTTGGACGTATAACAAGACAACGTGTAAGCACGTGCACTTAGCTCGTGTTGCTTGAAGAACTGGCTGGTTTTCGTTGCACCAGACAGAAACCTCCCCAATCCGCTAATATTGAGGCTAAAGGGTACACAATTTAATATTCTGGGGCGATAGGGCTGTTTTTTGACGGAAGCCTTTTCGGGCAGCTTGCTTTATTTTATTTTTTTTGAAATTTCAAGATACCAAGTTGAAGTTTCAAATTAAAATATTAAAATTTTAACTTATTATCTTTGAATTTCAAGATCATTGTTTGAAATTTAACTAAGTTTGTTTCTTGAAATTTCAACTATCTTGAAATTTCAACATAGCATCTTGAAATTTCAGCTTGGTAGAAATATTACCTTAGTATCCTGAATTTCAACATATCATCTTGAATTTCAACTTCGTATCTTGAAATGTCAAGAAAATAAGAAAAAAATCTAAAGGCTTCCGTAGTTTTGTGTTAGCGACAAAACATATTTTCTGCAACTGCTTCAAAACACGAGGAGTCAAACAATTTAATATCTTTTCACTTACTGTTCACAACACATTTATAGAACATCTAGCATATTTTCGGGGAACAACATGAGAACAGATTATTTTTTTCTAGTTTTTTTCTTCTGGAATATATTTCTTCATTAAAAGCAATGAGCTGGTAAAGTTTCCATGTTGTGGTCAAGTGTTAAATAATTTTTAACTTTTTAAAGTCTCGTCAATAAATGAGTGTAAACGCCTTGTAATTAATATTACATAATTAACATACGTGATTTTATTTGCGTACGTATTATTGAGCATATCAATAGGGTATCTGTTTTAAGTCTTTAAAAAATGTCTTGGTGGTAACCAAGGTGTTAACGGGGTAATTATATAATTTTCAGAAATCAACCCTATAAAATCATCCCCAACAGCAGATAAAAACGCCCTCGTCATAAATGTTTTGGACTTGTCTAAAAGATCCGTTAAAAGATAGTTCACACCTCTTTGATATATGTAGTCACATCGACGCCCAGTGAATCTTGTCATGACGTCTCCACCCTGTGTACAAACCTCTGTAACGTATATCTGGGTTCAACTAAGACATGCCATTGTGAAAGAAAACCCAGGTGAAACCAGCGACAATTTTCTTTACGGCGTGGTCGCTACACACTTGAGTAACGCCGCTGATTGTTAATTCTCCCATTTTACACGAAGCAATAAGTGCCATACATTCTATGTCTATTTCTACAGTGTTTGTCCCATATGGATATCTGCCAAAAAGATTGAATGAATCCTATACCCATATTGTTACCAGCGCTAGGCCGGGCAGTCTCAGTGTTGGGGCTCGTGAGGGTGTCTGCGTGAACCACACAGCGAGTTGTGGAAATAGGGTAGGCGGGAATAGGTCTCCCTGTCGCACGGTGACTCGGTGCGGGCTGAATCAACGTAAACCATGCTGGGCCTTCATGGAGAAGTGTAATTATTCATTCTGGTGGATTTAGCAGATTCAACATAATACTACGGCACTAGAATTTGGATAGGCGTATTGTATTATTGTGGCGGAGAGTCTTCTTATACTGCTTAACTGCCACAACCCCAGCATGACACGCTGTGCCGTTGGTCAACATTGATAGCCCGGAACACTCATGCAGGAGAGCAAGGACTGATTGAATTATTTGCATGTCATGCATTTTTGTCATGGTTGCTGCTCATCTCACTCGCTCACTCATCAACATTAGGACGACGGATTCTGATCTCTTCTGTTGAGATATATGATATGTGTAGTATTCAGGTCCAATGGTCCTGTTAATGCAGAGTTATCGAGACATTTGAACGCTTGAGATAATTTGCAGCCTGGAATTGTATCTCCAGCTGAGTTAATGGACTTCTGGCTTGCGGCATGACATTGTGATTAAGGCGTCTTACGTTAATTACGGCAGTGTACTAATTGATATGAATGCGTAATGTTAGTAACCTTCTGATGATCTGCGCTACACTTTGGATACATTGCGGAAGGAAAATTATCGAGCAAAGGTCAAGGAATTGGGATTTCCAGATTGTGACATAGGTATTGATATAATTGATATCCAAGGATGATATTTATTTTATTTGTGAGCGTGGGGGTTGTGAATCAGACGCTGTGATATTCAATTATGCATTTTGTTCCTCACACTGCACCGGACAGGAATTATCCCCACAACCAGAACTATCATCTGAAACCTGGAGACGGGTACTTGGAGTCACTGTCTCTTCCCAGTCGTCATGGCTCAATTTGCAGCAACGTCTTCCATCCCGTCAACCATGACGATATCAATATGGATGACTTCGGGTCATCTAATGAAGCCTTCAGTCGGTTGATGCCTCATGGACCCGAAGGCCGAGCTGAAAGTTACTGTTTCGCTCACACTGAGGAACTACCCGAGGACCACGACTGCAGGAGAGAGCTATGCACAAGGGTGACTATCAACGTCAGCGGGATGAAATTTGAAACCCAGCTAAGGACTTTAAACCGTCTTCCTCACACCCTTTTGGGTGATCCAGAAAAAAGAGCCAAATTTTGGGATAAGAAACGTCAGGAGTATTTCTTTGACCGCCATCGATTGTCATTCCCGGCCATTTTGTACTACTACCAGAGCGGTGGAAGGTTAAAACGACCCCTCGACGTGCCGTGGGATATATTCCGTAATGAGCTACATTTCTACGAGCTTGGTAACACAGCTATTGCCAACTTTGAACGAACGGAAGGAGTGAAACAAAAAGAGGAGGTGGTCAAAAAACCTGCGAATAAAGTCCAGCTATGGATTTGGGAAGTGATGGAGGTTCCTCAGAGTTCCTATTACGCCAAGGTTGTCGCTGTCTTGTCTGTTGTGTTTATTCTCGTATCTGTCGTGACCTTCTGCATAGAAACGCTGCCTCAGTTCAAAGGAAGGGACTGTGTAAACCAGACCTTTCACATTGGAAATAACAGGACGGAGATCAGGAAAGTACCTAACTACTGGGATCCCTTGTTTATGATTGAGAGCTGTTGTATAACGTGGTTTGTTGCGGAGACCATTGTACGCTTCAGTGTGAGTTACTCGAAAATTGCCTTCCTCAAAAGTTTAAGCAACTGGATTGATATCATAGCGATTTGTCCTTACTTTGTGTTCTTATTTATCACCTTGGCAACAAACGCTTGTATCGAAGGCGATCAAGCAAGCGGGTTGTCAGTTCTTCGTGTGTTGCGAGTGGTACGAATACTAAAACTCAGCAAACATTCGCAAGGTTTACAAATATTAGGCATGACTCTGAAATGCAGCATGAAGGAATTAAGTATGTTCCTGTTGTTCTTAGGAATTGCGACCGTGATATTCGCTGGAGCGGTGTACTATGCGGAAATGGCAGAAGAAAACGGCCAGTTTACAAGTATTCCGGATGCGTTTTGGTGGGCAATTGTTTCCATGACTACCGTAGGATACGGAGACTATGTCCCACAAGGTGTTATAGGCAAATGTCTCGGAGTGTTGTGTTTAGTGTCTGGTGTTCTGGCTATTGCTCTTCCCGTCCCAGTAATTGTTGCCAACTTCAATCATTTCTATACTCAATATACTGGTCGTGGTTACGGATCTGTCTAGGATTTCATCAATGTAAGAGAATCCATATTGGTTTTATTAAAAATGGCATTGGCACATGGCAACGAAACGAAAAATATATATGAACTTTTTTTTTAGTGATTTAAATGTTTCAGAGGGGCGGTCGGGTAGCCTAGTGGTTAAAGCGTTCGCTCGTCACGCCGAAGACCCGGGTTCGATTCCCGACATGGGTACAATGTGTGAAGCCCATTTCTGGTGTTCTTCGCCGTGATATTGCTGGAATATTGCTAAAAGCGGCGTAAAACCATACTCACTCACTTAAATGTTTCAGTAAATTAAAAATGAAATCATTATTGCATGGAAACAAAACAGAAATGAGTATTATTCCAACTGACGATTATGAGCCACGTATATATTTATTTGGCGCTCAATTGTTAACCTACGTGCACTTCATGTCGACAATAATGTCATTTAAATTATCTTCCGTGGTTGAATTACGGTCACATGAACGATCGGTTATCAGCGATCTCTTGACGCATTTTGCTGACTGTGCCAGAACAGTACATTTGTCAGACCTCTTTCAAACTGTATCGGTTGGTAGTATCTCCGTTGATTTGGGTCAGTGATCAATCACGTCAACCCTAATATCAAAGCTATTCTTTACATGTCGATCGCATGTAACCCATCTCCATTGTTTCTGCCAAACGTTACAGCACAGCAAGGGGTCTTGATGTCTTTAGACGATAGCCATAATGCTTTTAACAGCTCTTAAATAATAATAATAATCAGAGCACATCGTACATGATTACATAACTTGATTGTTTATCAAACTGAATACTTACAATCTTATTATAATTTTTTTTTTTGGGGGGGGGGGGGGGGGGGTTAGTTGTTTTAGACGCCGCAATTCGCTATGCAGAGGGATCCACCAAAGATGTAAAGACCTGCATCACTTTGGGCTTTCCTCCCGCATTAAACCGGTACACCATGATATAATATGAATGGAATACTGGTTGAAAGCGGCGTTAACACAACTCACTCACTTATGATATGGGATCACTGCTCTATCAATGTATATTTAACTCATGGAATGTTTTCATTTTTGACTATGGACCTTGTTTTAGAAAATGAGTACGAAATGTGGCTCATGATAACGGTTTCTACTTTGTGTAAGTGCCAATGCTGTTATCAAGATGCTATGCAAGTGTCTCAAACCGGGCCCTACTCTATAACACCTATCTAATTTCGACATAACGTTGATTGGTATAAAGTGGCAATGCTGTTATAAACAAGTCAATCGAGACTTTCGTGAGAGAGGCGCCTTCATGTGATATGTCTTCCGACCATTCCCGGTGTTCTACTGGATCACGTCCCATCAAACAATTGTCCTCTGACGTGCAATACACACGAAATACGCGCTTCCTCGCAGTCCAAGATGTGGATGGCCTCAAGCAGGACTGCGCCAAACATATGCATTACAAGAATGCGCCTCTGAGCAATATATGTTTATTGGACGAACACAGGTCATATTGCGCCTCTGAGCAATATATGTGTATTCGACGACCACCACTGCTCCTCTGAGCAATATATATGTATTGGACGAACACAGGTCGCATTGCGCCTCTGAGCAATAAATGTGTATTCGACGACCACAGGCCACACTGCTCCTATATGCATAAATATGTAGTCGACTGCTGGTCGAATTGCTGAGTAATAAGTGTGTATTGCATCAGCGCTCAGGGAAAACCAACAATGACTCAATCGGTAATAACCTGTCTGTGATATGTTTTCATTAGTAATTGTGTAATTGTGACCAGATAAATAGATGTTGATACAATTAACGGGTAAAGTATGGCTGATGTAAATATGTGATCTTTGCAACTTACGCTTCCTGTGTTCAAGCCTTATGATGGAGGGTTATTATCATGTATGGATCAGCGTGTAATATAGTAAATATGTCCTTTCCAAGCACTGCATACTTTAGCAACGCGTTTAAGCTCGTAATTCGTAGTTAGTTCAATGATTCGTCTGGCAGTGTTACATTTAAATAATACTGAATTATAGCAACTGGACTGTGATCAATTTAGGCAAATGGGTCCTACGCTACTATAGGATTGGTAGGATATCAGTTATTGATGAAACGTTGTCGATTGTGTATTTTTGTATCGATTCCTCCACAAACCCCGTAATGTAATCTGGAACTTACCATCAGGCTGTTAAAGTCTACGGAGATATGTATGGTTTTATCTGTGTGATATCAAGGAGAATATATAGAGAGTGGTACGAATGGCCAGTTAACCGTTCATTCTGTTAGTAAATAGTCCCGCGTGCCAAAGCAAAATGTAGGTGGTATTTCCTTGTACCTAGACGTGATGTTGATGAAATGAGCTCATCAATTTAATTTGGACTTAACATTGGAAGTATTCATGCAATAATATGTTCACGTCCAACTCATTTACTGTTCTTTTGTGCAACGAAGTTTACACTAAAAGTGTATGGTTCAATGAAATGCTAGAATAACTATAATTTGTGTTCGGATGTTTAAAAAGACTGATCTGGTTCCAAGTCATGTAGGGTAGACATGGATCAATGTTAGTGGTTGTAATAGCGATTAGTTTACACACATTGTGACTTAGATACTTAAATACAAATATTGCCTTATTTTAGGAAAAGGATTTATTTTAAATGTTTAGACCGATCGGCTTCAAACATGGTACAAACAGCTGCTACGGAGAAGACGAGCAACACCCATGCATTGTATGACGTAGGGTATGTGGTTTATATTTATGTGGGTTTATGTAACTCCAAATAAATGAGTACAGGATACATTTTCAAATGATCATGCAAATAGTGAATATCAACAAAACAAATTGCATATGCTCTTCCGTTTTGTTTGAATTGTTGACAAGGCAATGTTTACAGTGTATAATTGTGTTCACCAAACTATCATTTGGTACAAAAGCACATACTGAATCTAGATCCACTCTTCCCTTACAATCTGTCGTGATGTCTTGTTTGACAATGGTATAAGAAACTACACTGAAACGTCGCTTTTAAAGTATAATAAAGAAGTTGTTATCCATATTTTTTTGTCTACGCTGTCGTGCGATGATAGACACAATTGTGATACAGTTCCCATGGCTTTTGTCCGTGGACACAGTGTTACTGAAAGAAACAAACTTGGTGTGGGGTGTGTGCGAACATTTGTATTACCGTGTCTAGTGTCGAGTATAATAATGTTCATTACATAATGATGATTCCTTATACTTTCCAGTCACCTCAATGAAGCCATTCCAATGATAAAACTGTACGAATGTAATCTGGTCTTTGTGTTCTTTGTTGTGAGGAGGATGCACTGGTTGCATGGACACGGTCAGTAGTGAGTGCGTTGGGTTTTGTTTTTTTACGCCGAACTCAGCATATTCCAGCTATATGACGGCGTTCTGTAAATAATCGATTCCGGACCAGACAATCCAGTGATTGACATCATGACCATCGATCCACACAATTGGGATATGATGATATGCATCAACCAAGTCAGCAAGCCTGACCACCCAATCCCGTTAGTCGCTTCTTACGACAAGCATAGTCGCCTTTTATGGCAAGAATGGGTTGCTGAAGACCAATTCTACCCCGGGTCTTCACGGGTCAGTAGTGAGTGGGTGTTAATGGAATACAAGCAGATATGTGGATGCTATCCCCATCCGTTGGTCCTGTCAGCCTCATCAAATTCATTCTGAATCTTAACCACATGTTCGAAAGGGCATTTATTTCATTTTGTCTCACCAACAAAGCGTTAATAGTTTGAATGTGTCATGAACCTATCAATCATATAATGAACACATATTTTATAATGTTTACAAGAGATTGAAATCTTCATTACTATAGGACTGCTTTCATGATAAATTGGATGGGAGGGAGGAAGGTCTATGGTTCGATCTCCAGCCGCGTCATACCAAAAGATGGTACTTGTTGTTACCCTGCCTGCGATAAAACAAGGTCAGGTCGGATCGAAGTCAGTACACTGTAAACGTGGCATTAGTCCTGAATAGCGCCAACACACACACACACACACACACACACACACACACACACACACACACACACACACACACACACACACACACACACACACACACACACACACACACATATACACAATTAAACACACACACACACACACAAACATACACAATTAAACACACACACACACACACATACACAACACAGCCTTGCTACACACGCACCCTTTCTACATACACACCCTATCTCTCTCACACACACACACACACACACACACACACACACACACACACACACACACACACACACACACACACACACACACACACCATGTAATACGCGCACAGTAATAGAGTGACGACTATGGTTAGTTTTTATGAATATAACAATATGGGAAAAAATAGGCTATAATCACTTGACGTTAACGTGCGTCACTGTAGTAGATTAGAGGACATGTGTCAGCGTAATTAGGAATGCTATTAATTAAGTCCATGGAATAATTTACTAGCGTGCACTACTAACGAATGTTCCGAGTGTTTCTTTAATGTGGCGTTGTTACAGCGGTTTTGTAATCAGCATTATGTAATTCTCTTTATGTTTGTTTGTTATGCACTTTCAGCGTACACTTGTCCAGTCATGGTGATGATTGGTGTTTGTAATTGCGTAAATGCGTCACGTTTTCATTCAGATGTTGCTGGCATATATGTCACAATGTCAAGGAATTAAATGCGTTAATCAGTGATGAAATCACTATGAATAATTCATGTGTATGTATCATTGCATAAGCGATAAATGATCTTTTGAATCGCCATAACATGAACTTTCTGTATGATGTGATTTCATGTAATTAATTTTGATACTGTTTAATAACACAGTCGTTAAACACTTCCCAAAGAGGTTTGCGGTTAAACATATGTTATACTGACTTGTCTGACAGTTCAATATGTTCATTCGGAAAGAAAATAATGTCCACGCGCATATGAAAATGGTGTGTGTATGTAGGATTGGTGAGTGTGCAGGGAGGGTGCGTGTGTAGCCAGGGTGTGTGTGTGTGTGTGTGTGTGTGTGTGTGTGTGTGTGTGTGTGTGTGTGTGTGTGTGTGTGTGTGTGTGTGTGTGTGTGTGTGTGTGTGTGTGTGTGTGTGTGTGTG